TAAGCACGTGAAGTGCAGAATACTATCCTATATTTTCGATAAACTACAAATTAACAATCTTCTCCATACAAAACCTGATGCGAAAAAAATTATTTTTTTTAAAAAGGGCAAGATTTTCCCTACACACGAAGCTTCCACATGAGGTCCAAGGCTGGTAATAACAAAAGTAGATCCTTTAACATTTGTCTGTGGGCTTAAGAGCAAGACCCTATATGCTAAACAAGACATATCAACTAATCCACCAGGAAATTGCCACTGTCCCAGTCTTTCAAGACATGTCATTTCCATATTTGTAACGTACAGATGATTTCCACACAATTTCAGCTTTAAGCTCCTAATGTATATATGCAGAAAACAAAGCATAGAACTGAATTTGATTCTGTATATAAATCCATAATCTGAACCTAATGACTAAACAAAAAGGTGATCTAAATCCGTTTCTCCACACTTCAAGAATTGAAAGCATGATCCCAACCCCATTAAACAGAAGTCTCCCAACTGTCTTTTCCTTGTTCTACTGCTTGTTTTGCATAACAAGCCTCCTGTGAAAACCTCTCTCCTGCTTAACTGACAGAGCTGTCTGTTCACAACCTTTGAACAGTTAATTCCACTCAACTCCTCTGGTTGTCCAGGAGTGCTGAGGAGAAGTTATTGACCCAAGGTCTTACAGTAAACACCTGCAAAACCGTTGTTTCCAGATACTTCAAGAATTGAAAGCAAATTGAAAGTAAACACCTGCAAAACCGTTGTTTCCAGAATGTAGTTATTACATTTGTGCAAACAGAGTGAAAAGCCTCAGGCTAATGAATGGCCAGGCCATCCTATTCCTGGTGCTGAATACTGAGTGCTTACTATGGGAGTGCTTATCAATGGCTCATCATGCCTTCTGATGGGCCCTCCATCCTGCAGTGACTGCAGGTACCTACCAACAGCCCATTACTTACCAGAATTGGCATCATGTTCAAGTACAGAAATGGGTTCCTCATTTCAGTAAAAAGAAAAGAAACTTAACCCTGAGACTGACTGACTGAAGTGTTACCCAGCGAGCAGCAGAATTCGAGTGGTGCCTGCCACTGTCTAAGTCTTCCCACTGTGGGCCCTGCTGGGGCCACAGGCAGCTCATCATGAGCACCGTGGTGTCACCACCAAAAGAAGCCATTGTGGACCAGAGACCTGTTCTCCAGCCTCAGCAAGGCTGGGTGGCAGACAGTCACTCCATCAAAAAGTGACCCTGGATACTAACAAAGAGAACTCAATTTACTGTATAAACTCCCAGCTCACAGAGGTTAGTGACTGGTGAATTAGGGCAATTCCAGCATTAAATGAATTCGGAGAAGTAGTTTTCTGGATAATAATTTTGGTCCAAAGTCCAAAAAAAACCACCAAACTTTGACATCTTATTATGTCCCACAGTTGAATCACTACCGTCAGAACACCTAGTTGTGGTGTCATCAGTTTTCAAAGTCTAAAGTTCACAGACCTGGTCCTACCATATCAGTTACATCTATCATACCTTGGGTCTGATGTTCCTGTGTCTCAGCTGGCACCTCAGCCACTGGGAGCTGCAGACACGCCACAGTCACAACTTCCAGCTCCTTGGTGCTTTCCCTCTCGAACTATCCATAAATTAAATAACAGGCATATAAATGATTTGGACACACACAAGTATGTTATTTAGTAATTGAAAAAAAATCATACTACATCAAGCAATAGAGGGTTGTTGAACACATTGCACTTAAAGTTCAGGAAACCAGTATGTTTCCATTTGCTGTTAATCCTGAGTCTTATCGTTTTCACTGTTGCACTGGCCCAGAGGTCAGTGCATCTCCGTACTGCAGACCAGACACACCTCATAGAACCAGAGCACAGCAAGGCTCATCTGTTTGCTGTTCCTGACTGGAAGTAGCACATTCTGATATCTTCTATCAAATCTACTTGAGCTTTTTTGTTACAGAGTTCAGTTTCATACTGAATATTCCTTGCCAGCTGCCAGGGTTGCAGTTTTCTATGCCCTACCTTGTATCAAATTGTTTTAAAAGTTTAAACCAGAATGTCTGCACTTTCAAAAAAATGTATTTAAGTAGAAAAGCACATGGTTTTCCTCACATGAAGAAGAAAAACTTACACCTACTTAGTTGAGAAACTCTATTACCTTCAGGCTTTGTTATCTGAAATTAAGCAGAAGGATGGCCCCAGATTACCTGAGTATATTTGAGGCTCCTGCCAGAAAAGGATGTGAGGAAGAGAATGAAGTGGGGTGGAGAGGTAAGACCGAGAGAGAAAAGAATTAAGGAATGTGTAGAACAAGAACCGAAGTTGAGGGTGAATCAGGTGATGTGAAAGATGTAGCACTAGAGAGAGGAACAATAGTGGTGATGGCAGAGGAAAGAATGTGAGAAGGCAGGTATTCTCAGAGAGGAGGCTTTAGGGTTACAGAGACAGAGGAAATTTTTTAATGCAATACTTTTTGATACAAATGTTCACTTCCTGCCTCCATTTCTTTTATAGCACTTGTCAAATTCTGCTCGAATATTTTGTGCTAGGATTTTCTTTTTTGTTTCATTCACGGCTGATTGAAAAAAAAGAAATCTGGAGCCTAAAAGAGGTGTGCTTTAGCTCCTGAGTTCTGTTGTGGCAGGTGAGGAAGCCCAAGGATTTGGCAGCAGTGACAGCAAACCCAGAGAGACACATCGCAGCACGTGCTGCCACCTGGCGGCACAACGCCCCAAGCACAGTTAAACACAAAGGGCGATGTTCCAAAAGGAAACTCTTTTACCCCTAAACTAATTTCATCTAAGATAGCTAGCATTTCTATTGGATTTTCTCTCATGAAAATCTATTGGGCAGTGAAAAGACGGTCTTTTTAAAAAGGACATGGACTCCCATTTTTAAAGGACATTTATTACATGCTGCAAAATGCTGTGAAGGCCGTTATATCTGTACAACATCACACGTCCCAGTGATTGCACCACTCAGTGCCCAGACCCCCTCTGAACGGCGTCTGATGGGCCCTCCATCCTGCAGTGACTGCAGGTACCTACCAACAGCCCATTACTTACCAGAATTGGCATCATGTTCAAGTACAGAAATGGGTTCCTCATTTCAGTAAAAAGAAAAGAAACTTAACCCTGAGACTGACTGACTGAAGTGTTACCCAGCGAGCAGCAGAATTCGAGTGGTGCCTGCCACTGTCTAAGTCTTCCCACTGTGGGCCCTGCTGGGGCCACAGGCAGCTCATCATGAGCACCGTGGTGTCACCACCAAAAGAAGCCATTGTGGACCAGAGACCTGTTCTCCAGCCTCAGCAAGGCTGGGTGGCAGACAGTCACTCCATCAAAAAGTGACCCTGGATACTAACAAAGAGAACTCAATTTACTGTATAAACTCCCAGCTCACAGAGGTTAGTGACTGGTGAATTAGGGCAATTCCAGCATTAAATGAATTCGGAGAAGTAGTTTTCTGGATAATAATTTTGGTCCAAAGTCCAAAAAAAACCACCAAACTTTGACATCTTATTATGTCCCACAGTTGAATCACTACCGTCAGAACACCTAGTTGTGGTGTCATCAGTTTTCAAAGTCTAAAGTTCACAGACCTGGTCCTACCATATCAGTTACATCTATCATACCTTGGGTCTGATGTTCCTGTGTCTCAGCTGGCACCTCAGCCACTGGGAGCTGCAGACACGCCACAGTCACAACTTCCAGCTCCTTGGTGCTTTCCCTCTTGAACTATCCATAAATTAAATAACAGGCATATAAATGATTTGGACACACACAAGTATGTTATTTAGTAATTGAAAAAAAATCATACTACATCAAGCAATAGAGGGTTGTTGAACACATTGCACTTAAAGTTCAGGAAACCAGTATGTTTCCATTTGCTGTTAATCCTGAGTCTTATCGTTTTCACTGTTGCACTGGCCCAGAGGTCAGTGCATCTCCGTACTGCAGACCAGACACACCTCATAGAACCAGAGCACAGCAAGGCTCATCTGTTTGCTGTTCCTGACTGGAAGTAGCACATTCTGATATCTTCTATCAAATCTACTTGAGCTTTTTTGTTACAGAGTTCAGTTTCATACTGAATATTCCTTGCCAGCTGCCAGGGTTGCAGTTTTCTATGCCCTACCTTGTATCAAATTGTTTTAAAAGTTTAAACCAGAATGTCTGCACTTTCAAAAAAATGTATTTAAGTAGAAAAGCACATGGTTTTCCTCACATGAAGAAGAAAAACTTACACCTACTTAGTTGAGAAACTCTATTACCTTCAGGCTTTGTTATCTGAAATTAAGCAGAAGGATGGCCCCAGATTACCTGAGTATATTTGAGGCTCCTGCCAGAAAAGGATGTGAGGAAGAGAATGAAGTGGGGTGGAGAGGTAAGACCGAGAGAGAAAAGAATTAAGGAATGTGTAGAACAAGAACCGAAGTTGAGGGTGAATCAGGTGATGTGAAAGATGTAGCACTAGAGAGAGGAACAATAGTGGTGATGGCAGAGGAAAGAATGTGAGAAGGCAGGTATTCTCAGAGAGGAGGCTTTAGGGTTACAGAGACAGAGGAAATTTTTTAATGCAATACTTTTTGATACAAATGTTCACTTCCTGCCTCCATTTCTTTTATAGCACTTGTCAAATTCTGCTCGAATATTTTGTGCTAGGATTTTCTTTTTTGTTTCATTCACGGCTGATTGAAAAAAAAGAAATCTGGAGCCTAAAAGAGGTGTGCTTTAGCTCCTGAGTTCTGTTGTGGCAGGTGAGGAAGCCCAAGGATTTGGCAGCAGTGACAGCAAACCCAGAGAGACACATCGCAGCACGTGCTGCCACCTGGCGGCACAACGCCCCAAGCACAGTTAAACACAAAGGTCAGTGTTTCAAACGGAAACTCTTTTACCCCTAAACTAATTTCATCTAAGATAGCTAGCATTTCTATTGGATTTTCTCTCATGAAAATCTATTGGGCAGTGAAAAGACGGTCTTTTTAAAAAGGACATGGACTCCCATTTTTAAAGGACATTTATTACATGCTGCAAAATGCTGTGAAGGCCGTTATATCTGTACAACATCACACGTCCCAGTGATTGCACCACTCAGTGCCCAGACCCCCTCTGAACGGCGTCTGTTTGCAGGGGGGTTCAGAGATTAGGGTGACAGGCACCAATCTGTACAGAAGAAAAGCCACCACTAGTTGAAGTGCAAACCTGCAGAGCAGAACGAAGACGTGCTGGAAGCAGGGACAGACACGTGGAGGATTCCAAGGTTCAGGTCCCAGAGGGAACGTCCCTCAGCAGCCCAGGCTTTTGTGTCTGAGAAGAGAAATTTGCTCTGAGCCTCAGTGAGCATTTCTGAGGCTTGCGGGCTCCCAGCATAGAACTTCATGCTCAGATACTAGCAAGGTACAAGGTAAGTAAGGACTTGTACACCATTACAATTTTATTCTCAGTAAGGTTTCCTGGAAGCAATCTGTGTTACGCAAGTCTTAGATAAGTTTGGGCTTTAAAGCTAAAGTTTGTGATTATACAAGGTAATACTCTGAACCTAGACTGTGCCTTTTAATCTACTGACTCAAACAGCTTCAGAGATCTTAATTTAGCTCCATGACATCCCAATGAGATATAAATTATTGTATGTGTACTATCTAAGAGAAAACTCCAGTCAGTAATTATAATATAATATTAGGCTTGACTGCAAGTCCTCTAAGGATGTTTACCAATGACATTCTTGTCTTCATCATTCCTCTTCTACTTCTGTTTTTTATACTAAAAAAAAAAAAAAAAAAGAAAGGAAGAGTTATTTGTGGGAACAGCACATTAACTAGAAGTAGCAGTTAATACTGACAAGGATTTACAACCTTCTTCATGATATACATAAAGTTATCTCTGTTTCCTTTAAGTTAGATTGAAATTTGATAGCCTTTCCCTCTCCAACATAAAATAATGCTTCTTGGCAGGCACTGTGCATCCAATCCTCCTCTCACAGTTCAATTACCAGTTTTCCAATGAAGCAGACGACAACCTCTGTAGCAGAACCAGAATGAGCCTTTTCATAATTGTAGGGAGAATAAAATCAGATTCAGGCACAGACAGTTATTTACTAGGCTGTAACTGCTGGGATTTGGCTACTGTTATAATTTTATAATCTATGACTAATCTGTGCTTGCTCCTGTTACAATTCTCATTTGGATTTCATGGGCTGGCAGAAAGAAGGACTTAACAGTCATTCAGTAAATTAAATCACAGATATTTAGAGCAAGCTGAACTTTTGACTTGTTTCATTATACTCTGAGAAATGCACGTTAACGTACCGTGCTCCCCAACCAGATTTAAATCCAAGGAAGTCCAGGTGACTCATCTGTCTAACGCTAAATAATCTTCAGTCTTTTACCTAAGAAACCAGTTTGAGTGGTGTCTTTTGGTGCTGTGACAGTAAAAAGGGATTTCTACTGGGTGACAACTACGGCCCGAGAACAGCAATTACCCCAGGTCTGACACTGTGTTGTCTAACCCTGACCTGCACGGCCACATGCAAGATCTGAGCAAAAATAAACTGTTGCAGGAGTTGATGTAAAGTGACTGAGAGAGGACAGGTTCCTGTTAGGAAGCAGCTGATGCACATCGACAAACTCTGCCTTGCAAAATACTGCAGTGTTTTCCTCTCCATAATAGAGTTGTAGTAGCCACCACTGCTGAAATTTAATATAACTCCTTCATGGAAACAAAGACTTATGCAGAGACCAACTCAAAACGTCACTGGTTCTAAAAAATACATGTAAGTTTATATCAACAAAGAAGAATTTTTAAACAAGAACTATCACAAACATAAAACCCCAGTGGCCAAGTCCTTCCTTTCACCCAGGCGTCCAGGACGATGGAGCAGTCTGCTGTTCCTGACTTGCCTTCCCATCTTTTCTTCTTTGATCTGAACTAAGAGAGAGCAAACCTTAGCCAGTCTGATGCACTCACTTTATTCATGACCCAGTCAGCATCTTCGATGGCTCTCTTAATGATCTGCTGGATTCTCTCGGGACTGTCTTCATCTGCATGAACTTTGAAACTCTGCAATGTTCAACCAAAGCGTTACACTGAGGAAAGACATACTGCAATAGCTGTCCAATAAGGATCACTTTAAATCCCAAAGAAAATATTTGATGCCAACAAACTGTTGATCTGAAAAGGTAAAAATATTCATTGCAGCACCTGGCTGTGCTATTTCCATAGCAAGTCTTGTCAAATGTAATTTCATATTAAGTATTTCACACCTTTCATCAGCCAAAAAAACCCAGAGAACTTTAGTTCAGAACAACAACTGAAACTGTCTGGTAGGTTAAAACTAGAAAGACATGGGACAACAGGTACAAGCAAAAGCATGAAATTACTTCCATATGAACAATTAGATGAGATTTACCCAGCCAGGGGAGGGACATATATACATTAAAAATGACCAATAAGGAACCAGTAAGTGAGTAAGGAATGATTGTTCACTCTCTTGACTAACACAGGAATTAGAGATGAAAGCCAAGGAAAAGAAAAGGTTTCAGATTCAAAGCAAAAAGAAAAGAAATGCTCCTTCACATACTCCCACTATAACCCTTCAAGCCCTCTAACATTTCAAGCTTGCAGAGAAATAATTTTTTAAGTGCCAGGAGTTACAAGAAGTTGGTCCAAACCGTAGGAGGAGAAAAACAAACCCCAAAACCCCAGAACACTGAATTCCACCACCAGAAGAGAAACGTGTTTCTCACCTGCCTGATGGCATGTCTGTAGTGCTGGCGAATGTTCTCCTCAGGAAGCTGCCTGCAGCACCGCAGCAGGTACCGGTACAACTGCAGAGAGCTCTGGACGAGCTCAGCGTTCGGCAACGGGGCCATTAGCAAGGCTTTTAGCTGCTGAAAATAAAAAACACAAATCAAAATACCCAATGAATTTTTTTAAAGCACAGAAATAACAATGTAAGTAATTTTACAACAATGAAAACAAGGCCAGCAAGCTAAGGCTGAGCAGCATCATTTGAAGAAACTTTAGAAGAAAACACAATATGAAATGAATCAGAACCTGCTTAGTTTATAGACAGATGGGGGTTAGTTGTCACTTATCAAAGTATTAAAATACAAAAGTGTGCAGTTCATGCAAGATCACTTGACGATGGTAATATTAAGGTGTACTGCAAAATTAATCTTTTTCTAGTTTAAGAAAAGACCCACAGTGTAAGCTGCTATCAGCATACAAAGCAGTATCGCAGCCCTGAGGGAGTCTTTACTCTATAACCATAATTCTTAGATTCATTCAAGCTTCCAGTGCTTTCCTTGAGCACCCCTAAGAGCCCTGCCATGTGGTGACACTGCAGAGTGAGGACACTCAGAATTGCTACAAGTGGTGTTGGAATTTAACAGCATTTCTGAGTATTGTCATTCTCTCAAGAATATCTTGTGAGGCCTATGAGCATCAGGCTTTAACCTGAAATAACATGTATAAATATAGGAGAAGAGAGGCAAAAATATTGATAGGTTTGAAGTTCTCCATATTTTCTGCTAACAGCAACAGAAAAAGAACAAATCTAGCAAGTTTCACCTCCAGAACTATCCTTACATATTGTAACAATGAGTCCATCCAAGCTATATAAAGTGCTAATGGAATACTGTAAATGACTTGTCATTGAGCAGATGGTTGCCATCTGCAAAGAACTAAATTAACATTTGGAAAAAAGCACTTTTACATCATTACTCTTAAGAATAAAGATAATAAATAACAGAATAATGAAGTAGGTGTACGGCATTATTTTAGCACCCGTTATGATACTTACTCATCGCTTAGAATATTTTTTCCTTTTTCTTAAGTAATTTAAGTCCTTCAGCCAAATTTATTTCAGAATAGAACACCACAGCTATTGCACGCCTGGGCTATACATTTGTGCAGACTAACTCTTCCTGCAGTGGGGGAAATCTCCTCTCTATCTACCCAGAAAATGCCCGTCACAACAAGATATGTACTACTGTAGTCTGTATTTTCAGTAAAACAAAATTCATCTTGGTGTATAACTAAAGAGATATGAATTAGCATATGTCTCTAGCAGTCTATCTACCCAGAAAATGCCCGTCACAACAAGATATGTACTACTGTAGTCTGTATTTTCAGTAAAACAAAATTCATCTTGGTGTATAACTAAAGAGATATGAATTAGCATATGTCTCTAGCAGTAACAAGAGCTATGCTGAGTTACAGTAGCAGAGGTCACTGAAAATAGTTAATATTTCAAGCACAAAAAGCATGGTTACTCTATATGAAGAAAATTTAAGAAGTTTACAGCAAAACCACAGAATATGTCTTATTCTTGAGGGATGGGCCTCTGCAACACTGCTTTGCTCGTGGCACGTGTTTAGTTACAGGTAACTCAGAAGTAGATGATGTTACTAGAGGAAACTTTCAAAACCCCCTTCTCTCAAGACAGTTGAGTGCCATATTGCCATGTCTTGTGGGCAAGAAAAATCTTTATTAGTTGGCTCCTGGATTCTCTCACCATAACCTTTCCTGCTCCTCCCATAACTGAGATGCCACAAGGAAGGTCCATCTGGCCCAGCCCCTGCCGGGCCAGTGATGTGCCAGCAAAGAGCACTCACCCCTGAAGGGTCCCATCCCTCTCCAGTATCTCAAACTGGCCAGTGGGCTTCTGCACTTGGAGCTTCACGGGGTGTGGCTGTTTTGAATACTTGATATGTGCTATCAGCAAAGTGCAAGAGATGAGGTAAGACTTCACAATGATCCCCCCTGAGAATTACTTATAGCCAAAATGTGGTTTCCATTAGCTTTCAAGAACAATTAGAAAACCATTCTTCCATCCTGAGGGCAGTAAGTTGGCTCTACGCTGCTGCTGAAATCTTTTCATTCTGTTTGTTTGATTCCAGTTCTGGTTTTTCATATTTGTTTAATAAAAGCCATTCTATCTCACACACTACAGGAACTGGATACTGTCCAAAATAACCCCAGATGTAGGGCAGAAAGATGTTAAAAAAATTCAGAAATATAGACCAAGAGCTGACTTTTCAAAATGGCTTCAACCCTCAAATTCAGGCTTTAATCCAAACAGTATTTTGTTTAGAAGCCAAATGGCTACACGTTGAGTTGGGCAATTTACACACAAGAGCATGTGAAGCCACCTGAGCTGTCTGCTGTGCCCCACAGCCCATGGCCTGGCACCGGGAGCAACGATAACAGGGTCAGCAGAGCCATGAAAAAAATGTCTCTGTGAAACACCAACAATCCCTTATTTAATGAGAAGCATTTATGGAAGGAAAAAGTTGCTACAGTGGTAAGTCCTACTTCTCGAAATGATAAACCCACCTCCATGGCAAAGACATGAGGCGAAGAGCTTCGTTTAGGTGAGCGACGGGGCACCGCAGCCACCAGCTGAGTCACCAACACAGAAGATCCTACAAGTGCCAGAGCATGAGGACCATCAGCCCACCCAGACGTGAGCCAACCCTTGCTCTGCTACGTGGCAAAGTGTGTCCTGGGTCTACACTCAGCTCTCTGAATTTGGTGCTAATTAGAACTGGGCACAGGATTGTTACATACACAGAAACTATGTGGATATGTTTTTTATCACCCAGTACAGGAATCTGGACTATGTAGTGGGATTCAAGCTGATCTGAACCTAAAATGAAACTTTACACTCAGGTTTTTTTAGCTAGATCCTTAAGCTGGTAAGAACTGCTATAGTTCACTGACCTGAAGAACCTGACCCTGTATTTCCCATATTCCCACTAAATACAGCAAAACATCCCAATTCATACAGAGCCCCAAATACACTTTGGGACTAGAGCCAATTTGTTGAGTTCTTTCTAGGCTTTGATGTGTAAACTCATCATATGTCATTGTGCTCTAATTAAACCTAAGTGATGCAATAGATTTCCTGACACAAAAGCAACGATCCCTCATGTGTTGGGAATGTATAGGACAGCTTGCTTCAGCATAAAGAAAATAAGCTATGGGAGAGAGAGCAAGAAACCAGTCACGTAAACACACGAATATGGAAGGATTAAAACTGATCAATGGAATTGAAAACATTATTTCACTATAGATAATTAGGAATTTTCCAGTAATTTTTCATAGGAAAAAGATGAGCTGTTGAGTCCAAGTCATGTGACAAATACATTTACACTAATGAATTTTGGAAAAAACAACCCTTCACCTTCCCACAAACACTGGAGTAATAGGTTTTATCAGGTTTAGTTATCAAACATATACTGGAGAAGGCTCCCATACTGAAAGGACAAAAAAAAAAATATCCTGAGTTCTGACATTCACAGCTGCAAAAACGTTGTAAGTTTCATGACGTGGATAAGCTTCACAAGAAGTTTTATCACCAAAGATCTGTATTTTTCTGAGCATTAACTTCAGTGTTTGCAATATCATTTCCAGTCAAGTTTTCACTGGAAATCTAACACAACATGTGGAAAACTTGATGGCTCTTTTGATAAAATGGTTGTTTAATGAGAAATAATCTTATGACCTGAGGCACTACTAAGTTCTAAGATACTGGGGGACCGTGTGGGTACAACTCAACAGTGAGCAGATCATGAAACCAGGTGAGGCTACAGCCTGCACTTGTACACCCCAGCACCGGGGAGTTTGCAGAGTTACTGCAGTGATTTGCCTCTAACTTGGCACAAAAAGGCCAGTGAAGCACAGTACGAATCTGCACTAGTGCCTTTTGTTCTAAAAGCATCCCCCCTCGCATCCCACAAATGTTACCATTTTTATCTGCCAAGAAAAAAACCCTCGACCTCACAAAATCTGGCTATAATCCTGACTAATAACGCACATCGCCTTCTGATAACTTAAATATCACGCATAGCACAACAAACAAACTATCTAAACCGAGAACTGTTGAGTCAGAAATAAAATAATCCGCTAATTGTGCTTTTCTGGAATGGATGACTGTATAACGTCCTAATCAGAAGGCTGAAGTCACATTTGCATTTAGATAAAGCCCCGTTGAAAAAGAGACAAGTATAAAAGGAGACACTGAGACCATTGTGGCATTTCTCTGCATTGCATAATCATTGACATTCCTGATAAGGATACTCAGATAGCCAAGCAGAGCCTGACCAAAGCCAATTAATCTCACCCTCAGCTTTAGCAGCCTGTTGGCTGGACCCGCTGCGGAGCCGAGCCCCCCAGGTACCCGTCCCACCCTGCTCCCCGCTCGCCCAGCAGGGTTCTGCTACTGGGACTGGTGTTCAAGCAAATCCCTACGGTTCAACAGTTAGAATCACAGTCCCTCTGGACTAGTTAAACCGCCACCGAAGCCGGGCTTCGGAGACTGGAAGTGCTAATTAAGGGGCTGCAGGAGTTACCTGAGCTGCTGCTGTTTACAGGTTGGCTCCCCCTTCCCTCTCTCCCCCAACACAGGTTGGAGATGTGGTTTCCTAGTATTTCAAAGTGCTGCATCTCCAGAAGTCTAACTTGGGAATTTATTATTCCCTATCCCAGTCACACCTCACCATCTCTAAAGCACTGATTTTACAGTAGAGTAGCACAGTAGCATTACATCCATTTTTAACAATGAGGAACCACGACAGTACAGAGGGAATTTTGCAAATTAGGGTTAAGCAAACAAACCCGGTAAGAAAAAAAAAAATTAATCGAAGAAAAAAAATATGCAAAGAATCTATTGAGGTGCATTAATTTAGTTTTAATTAGGCAGGTGTTTCAGAATATTCCCTGCAGTATAAGTACTCATAAAACAGCAGAGAGAAGGACTGTTTTTTCAAACCTATGTGTGAATTTAGGTATCTTGGGAATTGGAACATCTTAAACAGTTAGCTAAGGTGCCAAAATAATTTGTCCTTCTTGAAGTGTCCAATAACAGACTCTGCAAGAAAACAAT